ATAACATATGTTACAAAATTTTAGAAATACAGAAGGCAAATCTATGAGTTGAAGCTCAATTAGTCAACTAAAAAAAAAAAAAAACTGAAATATTTCCTAGCTATGGTGAAGAAGGTAGTAAGCTAAAACATGCCAGAAAACTCCTGAAAGGTTCAGGGCAGGTAGGAATACAGTAAGGAGTCAAGCACAATTCTGTGAAAGTCTGCATAGCAGTAAACGCCAAGATGCCTTCCTGTATCTGTCCTATCTGGGAGTGAAGACTGGGTGTTTACCACTAGGAAGGGGTTGAAAATGAGTAATTCTGGATTTGGGAGCCAGGAATACAGTCGAGGGAAGAGATGCCATAGATGAAAGGGGGATTTGGTCAAAGCCAACATAATAATGAGTGATAGGCCCCTTTCCTCTTCTTCCAGCAGGGCCCCAACATTGGAAGCTGTTACTGTTTGCTTCTTAAATGTCTCCCAAAGGCCCATATGCTAAAGGCTTGGGTGCTGTCTTAGTTACTTTTCTCATGGGTGAGACAACATACCCAACACCCACAAGTTAAGGGAATAAAGATTTATTTAGCTCATAGTTTGTAGAGGTTTCACGTCATAATTGGCTGACTCCAAAGCAGGGTGGTATGGTAGACAGGGATCATAGAGGAGAGATAGTTCATGCTGGGCAGAAGATAGCAAAGCAATAAGGGACAGTCAGCACTTTCTGTCCCTTATATCTTATCCAGGCTACTTAGGGTGGGTAGCACTCACACTTTTAATCCTAGTGCCCTCAGTCCTAGCACTGCACCATGAACCAGTTCCAGCGCCACATACTCTAGGTCCAGCCTCTTCTGAAAAAGCCCCACTTATCACCACATGAGGCTTTGGGAGGACATCTAAACACAAGCAGTAACAGCTGCCAACCTGCAGCACTGCTGGAAGGTGGTAGAACTTTTGGGAAGTAGGAGCCAGTAAAAGAAAGTTAGGTTATTGAGGAACATGCTCTTGGATGGGATAGTGAGGTCTAAGTCCTTTTTCAGTCTTTCTTTCCTTCCTGGTCACCATAAGGTGAGCAGTTTTACCTGATCAAGTGCTCCCCACCATAATATCCAACCTCACTACAGACCACAAAACAACAGAACAGCCCTTCATTGACTGAAATACCTGAAGCTATGAGGCAAAATAAACCTTTCCTTCTTTTAAATTGATTTTTTCACAGTGACAGAAATATAACACAGCAGCCAAAATTCTACAGAGCTCCCATCCCTTTTTCCTTCCCATATACACAATTTATCCCTAGGAGAAGTGACCACCCAAGAGAAAAGACCAATGGGAAATAACAGGCCCCAAGGTTTCTGCATGGTCATAGGAAAGACCATCAGTGGACAAACCCTGCTAATGCATACTGAGAGTTTTCAGTAGCTCTTACTATTTTCTTTGTAAATATAAAGGGATCATTAGATATTTGTGGAAAAACAAAACTAGAATTTAACAAAAATAGAAATACTGTACTAGAAATGGAATAAACTTCAAAACTAAGTATCATTGGCACTAAGAAGAATGTTACATATATAAAAAGAATGGATTCTTATTTTTAAAAAGGGATATTCAGAGAATAAGGTGTTCTAAGAAGCTAAAAATTATAGCAGCAAAAAAACTCAACAGAAGCACTGAAAAAGTTTGGCAAATCTCTTAGAAGTTAGAGGAAAAAAGATAGCATCATGAAAGGAGGGGAAAATAAAAAAATAAGGAATGTTTCAAGAGATTCAACTTTTGGGTAAGACAGTTTCAGGGAAGACACAATATAAAAAAGTAAGACTTGGAAATTGACAAAGAAAGTTTACCCAAAATGGAAGGATGTTTTCTAATTAAAAGAGTCCACTGATTACTTAGAATAATGAGTAAAAAACAGGCCCATCTAATGTATTGCACTATTAATTTTTATAAGAATTAATAAAAAGCCAAGATTCTGATAATTTTATAGAAAACAGGTTGCAAAAAAAAGATCAAGAAGCAAACTGCATCAGATTTTTACTGCAACGAGAAACTAGAAGATGATAGGATACAATTTTAATCCCTTTTGAGGAAAAATAATTACAAACTCAGAATTCTATAAAGAACTCAACTATAAATGTGAAGATAGACTAAAGACATTTTTCACAGATATGACAGTTCCAAAAATTTTTGCCTCTATATTCCTTTTTATTAAGCTATTAAAGGACATGTTTCATTAAGATGGAGTATAAACCAAAAAAAGGATACAGGTTGGAGTACAGTAGAATTTAATGGATGGGAAGGGGAAGGAAAAGGGGAAGTGAAAGGAAAAAGGGAAAGAAAAAGAAAAAGAAAAAAGAACCAGGTATGGTGGCACATGGCATATGCCTATAATCACAGCACTCTGGGAGGCTGAGGCAGGCTGATCATAAATTTAAGCCCAGCCTTGACAATTTAGCAAGACCCTATTTCAAAGTAAAAAATGGACAGAAGGAAAGAAAGAGCATGGGCCAGTGTGACTAACAAGGAGAACAGGCAGAAGAGTAAAGAAAAAAGGGAGGTGTTATGGTTGACACCCCACCCTTTCCGCACTTGCTGCTTTTGCTGCCATGAATGGTTGCCTGTGTCATGTGCCACTCTGCCTTGGAGCCAGTCAGGTATGGACTGAAACCTCCATAGACTGTGAGCTAAATAAACCTTTCCTTCATTAATTTTGGGCATCAGGTATTTTGTCTCAGCAACCAGAGAAAAGTAACCAAGACAGGAGGTTAACAGAAGGAGGGAAAAAATGGGAGAAACAAAGAGAGCAAATAATTATCACTGAGAGCTAAATCATATTCCACAGCAGAAGGTCAATGTACTTAATGACCATGTAAGTCAGCTAAACAGAAATATAGACACAAATGCTAGCAGGAACAGATAAATGAGTAACATCTAAAATAGTCAAAAGAACTTGTTGGAGGACAGTCATCAGTAAGGTTCACGCACTTACTCCTGACTCTAGAAATATGAATTTGAACAAATGTCCCAATATAAAATAACTTCACAAGAGCTAATGAAACCAGAGGAGAGAATATAGCATCTGGTTGTAACAAAGAATTAAGCAAAGATGCATTGAAGAGGGTAGGTAGGATGATTTTACATTACCAGCATCACCCCTCCTCCAAGTCAAACCAGCACAGTGCACAGATACCTGCCCTGTGGAGGAAGAAAGAGGACTCAAGCATCCAACTTTGACCTATGCTATCATAAAACCTGGTGTCAGCAAACCTTCATAGCCTCCTCTAGGCAGATACCCTCAATCTGAACTTCCAAGCCCTACCTGGAGTCAGGTGGGGTCTCTCTGCCTCAGCTTTAGGACTGCCTCATAAATTTGTATTCCTTATCTATGCCTTCCTCACTACTAGCCCACTTTAGTAGTCCCAGGGGCTCTATCAGCTCCAGTACCACTGGCTCCAGGCCAGTCCTCACAAACTCAGGCTCTAGCTATACTCCTTCAGCCTCTGGCTCTCAATCAATCTCAGCACTTCTCATTATTAGGTTAGTACCTGTGGACCTAATCTCCAGACTGGCCCCTGCAGGGCTAGTCTCCATGCCTGCCCAGTACCAGGACAGCCCCTGAAGCTGTTAATCTCCAGGTCTGCCCCAGGTTCCAAGGCATCCCAGATCCAGGTCTGTCTGTCCATTTGGCCCGATGCATTCTGCCTATCCCAGGCACTAGGCCTGCTCAGTGTCCCAAAGACCCTGCCCTGTTGGCTGGCCCCTGATGGAGTATGAGTTTAATCAAGTTAGCTGTCTGCTATTATAAAAAAGTCAACACTGTTTAAGGGAATATCCAAAATTACTGAACACAAAAAGAGGAAAAACAACCAGCTTGCAAGAGCAAAGTTAATTAAAGAACACAGTCCCAACATGATCCAAGTATTAGAATGAGCAGACAAGTACTTTAAAAGAAGTTATAATAAACATACTCAAGAACATATTGAAAGTTTCAGGGACCCACAAGATATATCTACAAGTTCTATATACATGTAATTGGAACAGTAAAAGAAGGGGAGAAAGACAAAAAAGTGAAAAATAATGGCCAAAAATTTCTAAAACTTCACAAAAACAGAATATTTAAACACAGTATTGAGGTAGGAAATGTTTTATAGGAAACAACTAGACATTGTAAATTGAGAATCTTAAATAGATATATATTTTATACACTTTGGTAACTCCATTTATAGTAATATATGTTAAGGAAATGGGTAAAGATAAAGTAAAAAATTTATTTAGAGAAATATCCTTCAATGTATAATTTATAACAGCAAAATCCTATATTATCCAATAACAGTCTAATAGACAAATATTGGGGCATAGTTGCCACAAAAAAATAGATTTTTTTGCATGTTTTTGAGACAGGATCTCATCATGTCATTCAGGCTGGCCTCGAACTCACAGAGATCCTCTGGCCTCAGCCTCCTGAGTGCTGGGATTACAGGAATGTACCACCACACTGGGCTCAAAAAGTATTTGTTGAATGAAGGAGTTATTAGGTTTTTCTTAACGAAGTATTTAATCAGATGAGATATCTGACAGAAGAAAGTAACAAATAAAATTGTACCTAAGCATAATCCCTACAGAATTTAGAATATAATATACAAAGAAAAATATAAGAACACAGCTCAAATAATTATCTCTGAGAGGCAGGATTATGAATGACTTTTTTCTTTAGAGTTTTCAGAATTTCCTTTATTTTTCTTCAGACAGAGTCTTGCTATGTAGTTCAGGCTAGCTTTGAACTCACTATGTAGCCCAAGCTAGCCTTGAACTTGCAGCAATCTTTCTGCCTCAGCCTCCCAAGTGCTGGAATTACAGGCATGCACCACCACACCTGGCTCAGACTTTTCAATATTTTTCAAAAATTTATAATGACAATTTATTCATTTGGTGAAAAACCAGCAACAGAGATACAAATGTATATTAAATATATTCTGAACATTTGTGCTGCTAATATTCTTGTTTTCACCCAGCCACTAGGTTTACCTTGGTCCAGGATCACTCCCATTTACATCCAAATTGAGCTCTCGAGGTTTAATAAATTCTTTGTCAGCAACCAGTTCCTTTGGTTTAAACACAGCTTGAGTTCTTAGCCTGTAAAAATAAATTTAGAGAATTTCTAATCCAGAGGAGACTGACAGGCTCATGTAATTCTTATAACATGATCATCCAGACAAGATACCCCGCAATTATTTTCAGATTACAACTCAATCTGTCAAAAATGAATGAATAGGCTGGGGACGTAGCTCAGTGGTACAGCATGTACTTAGCATGAGTAAAGTTCTGTGCTCGATTCCCGAGCCCTAAAAATATAATTTTAAAAAAGGTAAAATCCTAAATACATATAAAAATAGTATACAAATTGACTTAAAGGACTTTAGAATTTCTTCATTTGTAGGAAAGTGGGGGGAAAAATGAATTGGTTAAAATACAATTTAAAAACTCAAAATAAGTGATGCTATAAAGCACCACAAGTCTTTCTTCAAGAATTTAAGTCTTCCCTCTTTTCACTGCTAAGCAAGCATATTTTGGTCATCAGGTTCTAAGCTGGAATTCTAGCAATTCTTCAGTATCATTGACTCTAACATATACTACATGAGAAGTTCCCACTTCTCATATTGACATTTCAAAGAGGGTGGCAAAAACTCACTGACAAACATATTTTCTCTGGGACACATAAAAAACAATTGAAAGACACTCTCCCTATCAGTGTTAACTTAGATCCATACTTATGTGTATAAGAAGGGAAGGTTGTTGAAGAAACCAGCAAAATGTTTTCTACCAGGAGTTTGTGTCAATTGTTGGTATAAAATGTAACATCCACCTACCCATTTCCACTGTTTTAAAAAAGTATTTTCTGGTTATCTGTACAAGTACATTCTTTATGAAATCAAACCATGAAGAGGTAAATCACTGATAAGACAGCACTGTCATTTTCATAAATGGCAAAAAGATATTCTTCTAACTGTAACTATGCACAGTAATATACAGAGATGTCCTGGGTCTGATCAAAATATATGATGAATGTTTAAATTTTAAAAATTTACAATGAAAGACACCTTGCCATTCAATTCCCTTAAAATATCCCCCCTTACTTCAAACACACTGATCCTGCTGTCTCATCAGATGGCTTGTACCACTGGTGGCAAAAATGGTACAGTCATGCATAGCATAGTCATGCATGTACCACTGATGGTTGAAACTGCTCAGCAGCAAGACAGGAATTATGGCCCCATCATGAGTAGGATAATTCTTCTGGGAAGATACTAAGAAGAGGTATAGCTGGATCGAGTGGAATTTCCAATTTTACTTTTTTGCAAAATCTCCATACGGCTGTCCTAGTCTACATTCCCATCAACAATGTAGAAGGGTTTCTTTTGCCCTGTACTTTCACCAGCATTTGTTTTTTAAGCCCTTCATGATAGCCATTCTTACAGAAATATGATGAAATCTCAGTGTTGCTTTTATTTGCATTTCACTAATGGCCAAAGATTCTGAGATTTTTTTTCACATATTTATTGGCCACTTGTACTTGAGAAGTGTCTATTCATTTCAGTTGCTCATTTTTTATTGGATTTTTTGTTTCTTTGAGGGTCTAATATTTTGAGTTCTTCATATATCCTACATATTGGTTCTCTATCACAGGAGTAACTGGGAAAAATTATTTCCCATTCTCTGGGTTGTCTCTTTACTCTGTTGCTTCCTTTAATGTGCAGAATCTTTTTAATTTGAAAAAATCCCATTTGTTGATTCTTGAAATTATTACTTGTACAACTGGGGTTCTGTTCAGGAAGTCCTTGCCTAAGCCAATGAAGTGTTTGACCTATTTTCTGGGATTTCTTTTTTATTATTATTATTTTAAAGAGAATTATAAAAACAATACAGACTTTCAAAACAAGATACAGGAAATTAACAATGGTTGTTTTGCTGCATATTCAAAGCAGTTGCTCAGATTACCAGATATAGATATGCAAAATTGATCAAATAATTAAGCCTTAATTGTTCCTTTTAATAAAACAAGAGAAATTAGTAGTACAATTATCTTAGCTATCTTGCCTCTATCTATCTATCTATCTATCTATCTATCTATCTATCTATCTATCATCTTTCCTTTTCTCCTTTCTCCTATCCTAGTTGTTCTTCCTTTAAAAAAAAAAAAATAAAAATAACAATGAAACCCAATTTCAAAACAGGTTATTAGGACAGTTACAATAGTTGATACATTGTGAATTGTTGTCTTCCTATTAGTTATTCAGAGTAGAAGAGATAGGCATGATATCTTGTCTATACAATATTAGCACAAAACTTGCTTTTTAATCAACTAAGAGAAACTAGCTGTGTAACAATGTTAACTATTTTGTTTCCACATGCTGAAGGCTAACACTAGACTCATTATCTATCACCATGCACTAAACTAAAATTAAAATGGTTCAGAGATCTAAATATTAAAATAGAAACACTAAACTTACTGGAAGGGAAAGTAGGTAGAAATCTCGAAGACATAGGTGTAGGCAGAGACTTTATGAACAAACCCAGACCACAAGAGAAATAGTACCAAAAAATCAACAAATGGATCTCACCTTACCAAAAAGCTTTTGCACAACAAAAGAAATCACCAACAAAGGGAAAAGACAACCCACAGAGTGGGAAAAAACTATAACCAGTTGTCCCAGAGACAAAGGACTTACTTATATCCAGAACATGTTAAGAATTGAAAAAAATCAGAGCCCCCAGATTCAAAGACCCAATCCAAAAGTGGGCATTGGAGATAAACAGGCTTTTTTCAGATGAAGAAATACAAATGGCAAATAAAAACATGAAAAAATGTGCAACATCATTGCTCATTTGAGAGATGCAAATGAAATCAACACTGAGATTCCATCTCACCCCAGAAAGAATGGCTACCATCAAGAAATCAACCAATAACAAATGCTGGAGGGGCTGCGGGGAAAAAGGAATTCTTCACCACTGTTGGAACAAATTCTCCATGATGAATATGATCATTATGTGCATGTAAAATGTACCAATAAAATCTGATTGAGGGCCAGGGATGTAGCTCAGCAGCACAGCACCCACTTGGCAAGCACAAGGCCCTGAGTTTGATTCCTGGTACCAAAAAAAAAAAAAAAGGAAAAGAAAAAGAAAAAGAGAAAATCTCAACTTGAATGAGAAAAGATAACTAACAGATACCAATATTAAGAAGACACAAATGTTGGAATTATCTCATAAAACTATTAAAAGAGATATAATAACATGGTTCAGTGAGTGCTTCTGAACATACTTGAAACAAATTTTAAAAACAGAAGATTAAATGAAACAGAAAAATAAGTAGGCCTAGTGGTGAATGCTTGTAATCGAGCTATTGAGAAGGTTTAGGTAGAAGGATCACTAGTTTGAGGCTGTCCTCTGTAATTTATTGAGACCTTACTCAAAATAAAAATGAAAGGCTCTAGGTATGTAGCTCAGCAGTAAACTACTTGGCTAGTATGTACTTGGGCTTCAGTTCAATCCCTAGAGAAAGAAAGTTTGGGAGGAAGAGGAAGAAAGAGAGCAAGAAGACAAGGAAGCCATGAAATTAACCAAATGGAATATTTTTCCTCTGAAAAATATCTCAGATAAGCGAAAAATATAAAGCAAAACAAACAGAAAATAAACTTACTGGACTAGCTTTACACAGTGGAGAGGCTATAGGAAAGAATCAGAAACTTGATGGAAAACCAGGAAAAATTACACAGAGTGAACAACAGTGAAAAAAGAACTGAACAGTAATGACCGCAACAAAAATCAGGTGTTCAGGATGTGTGAGCCCATAACAAAAGATTTTATATTCAGTTCACTGGAGTCTTAGAGAAGTGTATGAAGACTCAGAATGTATTAGAAAAAAATAATGATCGAAAAACCTACAAATTTGGCAAAAGACATACAGTTCAACAATCTGAACAAAATCCAAAGAAGATAAATATAAAGCAATTTTTAAAAAGAGACAAATAGACAAACTTCTAAAAACTAAAGACAAAAAAAATCTTAAAAGCACCAGAAGAGAACCAACATTGTGAAAATGGCCATACTCCCAAAATTGTTGTACAGATTCAATGCAATCCCAATTAAAATACCATTAGTATACCCCACAGATCTAGAGAAAACCCTCCTAAAGTTCATCTGGAACCAGAAGAGGCCTAGAATAGCCAAAGCCATCTTGGGAAACAAAGGAAAGGCAGGAGACATCACAATTCCTGACTTAAAATTATATTATAAAGCTACTGTGATAAAATCAGCACGGTACTGGCATAAGAACAGACCTGAAGATCAATGGAACAGATTAGAAGACACAGATACAACTACAAACACACTCAGTCACCTTATCTTCAACAAAGGGGCCAAATATGTTCATCTGAAGAAAGACAGCCTCTTTAAAAAATGGTGCTAGAAAAACTGGTTCCCACATGCTGAAGACTAAAACTAGACCCATGTTTTTCACCATGCACTAAATTAAAGTCAAAATGGATCAAAGATCTAAATATTGAAAGAAACACTAAATTTAATGGAAGAGAAAGTAGGTAAAAATCTTGACGACATTGGGGTAGGCAGAGAGTTCATGAACAAAAACCAAACTGCATGGGAAATACTTCAAAGAATCAACAACTGGGATCTCATCTTATTGAAAAGTTTTTGCACATCTGAAGATATCACCAATAAAGTAAAAAGAAAACCCACGAATTGGGAAAAAATTTTAGCCAACTGCCTCTCAGAAAAAGGACTTCTATCTAGGACATATAAAAAATTAAAAAAAATCAGGCCTCCCAAATTCAAAGACCCAATCCAAAAATGGGCATCTGAGATGAACACACACTTCTCTACTGAAGAGATATTAATGGTGAATAAATACATGAAAAAATGTTCAGCATCATTAGTCATTCGAGAAATGCAAATTAAAAACACTGAGATTCCATCTCATCCCAGAAAGAATGGCTATCATCAAGAAATCAACCAATGACAAATGCTGGAGAGGCTGTGGGGAGAAAGAAACCCTACTCCACTGCTGGTGGGAGTGTAGGTTGGTGAAACCACTGTGGAAATCAATTTGGAGATGCCTC